CGAGACAAGGGCCGGGAGCAGCCGCGGGCGCTGAGGGAGACGCGGCCCAGGTCCTTGGACCTGATGGTGCCCGGGGGTGCTGCTCCGGCCAAGCCCCAGGTGCTCAGCCACGTCCACTACCACCACCACCAGCACCACCACTACAGACGAGACATGGAGTGTCCATCCGGGCGGGCCGGGCAGGGGCCTGGGCAGCGCAAATCCCGTTACTCTGGGGCCAAGGTTGGCTTCCACAGTGCTCGGACACAAAGGAGGACTGAGAAAAGCCATCACTGTCAGCAGCCTCTGGAAAGCAGTGCTGTGCCACAGGAGGCAGCTCTGGCAGGACAGCCAGCCTGTCCCCAGCAAGGCCGGGAGCCCCCTCATGCCCCCTCTGCTTCTCCAGACAGGTTGGACTTCAGTGTAGATGCCAACAGACAGTCAGGAGCAGCTGGGTCATCTCCTGCCCCGCTGCCCCCGAGACACAGCTTACAGAGCCGTCATCACCGAAGGAAAAGAAAGTGTCCCCTGGAGCCTGACCCCGCTCTCCTGCCTGAGGACTCAGCCCTGCCCAAAACCTGCGATGCTCATGTTCCCCATGGCCACCCCGCTAGCTACCGCTGCTCGCCCGAAGTCCAGCCCCTTATCCCAAGCGCTCCCCAGCCCTGTGGCTCGGGCTCTCGGCCGCTCTGGAAGTGTCTAGTGTCCGGCTCAGAGCTGAAAAAGCAGGAGGAAGGGTTGTCAGGACAGGAGGGAAACCGCCCAAGTCCTGCTGATTTCTCAGGGACGGGCACCCCCAGACACAGTCTGAGTCTTCACCTTCACTGCCCGTCTCAGCAGGGCAGTCGGGGTAAGTCTGTTGTTGGCCTCTTCTTGCAGCGAGCAGGCAAATGAGGTGCTTTGCTGAAGGTACACTGGCTGCCCATAGACCTTCACGATGGGCTTTCCTACAGGACCACTGACAACAGAAGTGTTTCAGAGCTCACCTGTCTGGAGGTGATGGCCCAAACGATTAGCAAGCCTATTAATGAGTGCACCAAACCCTGCAGTCTCGTCCTAAAATAATACAAATGAGAAATAAGGTGGCTATTTTTAACTAAAGATCTCTAGCAGACGGAATATCTCCCAAATGAAGGCGTGGGACCATGTTTCTCAGTGTCCTTACATCAGTCTGGATGTCTTACTGGCAGAGTTGTTATCGTTAGGGCTTATTGGGCTCTCGTTGTTTTAGCCAACACCAGCTTACCAGAATCAATAAGGAAGGAAGTGTGCGTGGCTGGTGGTAGTAGAAGAACAGACTAAATGAGTTTATGGATTTGCACATCCCTCATTTCTCACCTGCCTCTGTTGCGTGGGAGTTGCTTTTTAGTGTCTTTTGGAAATCAGTTGTAATTAAAGTTTGGCCCTTTGCCTGGCTGCTGTACAGAGAGGGAAAAATGCGCATGAGACTGTTTGAAAGAACCTCACCGAGTTTAGCTCCCAGGTCTCGCTCTCTCGGGCTCCTCTGGGTACAGCAACCCGCGAGTCAGCGCTGGCTCTGAGCAGAGCCTGGCTCCCTTCCTCGCCCCGCCACTGACTCATTGCAGCTCCTCCGGCAAATCGTTTTGATTTAGGTACCAAATACAGATCTAGCTGCCTAATTTCTGTTAAAACACTGGCCTTAAACTCGTGACTCACCGTGCCCATTGTGCCACGGAGATAATAACTTCCTCCCCATGCTCGTCTATCCAGCCCTACACCACACCCAGGCTCCCGGTGCTGGAGCGCCTGCCAAGGAGGCAGCAGGGAAGGGGGAGAGGCTGGCTGGGGCACGGTGCTGGCTGCCTGCGGCGCTCCGGGCTCCCAGACTCCCAGGAACAGATATATTTATTTTTTTTTCCCAGGCACAGAAGTGCCTGACACTGCAGATAGGTGATACAGGAGGTTCTTCAGAGGGCCCGGAGGGATGCTGCCGTTTCGAGAGATAAGGCGGCAGCAGTGCAGAGATGTTGCTCTGGTTTGCAGTAGCTCTGGGTCCTGATGTCTTCAGAGTTGGAGGTGGTGGGCAGCGATATGGCCAAGACATGGCCCTCCCAGGATCACAGCAGGGGACCTCCACGTGGAGAGAGCCCTCCTGGCGTGAGGGCAGGCTGCTCAGGAGTTGCTTTGAGCTCACATTTCAAAATGAAACTGGGAGGACTCCCCAAGCCACCAGAGCAGGAGTGTGCACCTACGGCGGTGCACCCAGCGCCCAGGGCATTGCAAGGGCCCCTGCTGTGATGCCTCTGTCTCTTTGGAGATGTCCCAGCAGCCCAGATCTGTGCCCACCTCCTGATGGCGTGATGGGGGAAGTCTCCCTGCCACCCACCCAGAGCCAGTGTGAGTGTGCTTTGCCGAGCACATGCAGCCCTCGTTCACTCTTACCTGCCTTTACCAGGAGCTAGGAGGGCCAGTGTGTTTGAAAACAGTGGGACTCTATGTCTATTGATCTCAGTAGCTTCTGTGGATGCTTTGAGGACCAGCCAAAGAGTCAGAATCTCCATGTAAGATTGAGAAAATATGTAGAAAGGAAGGATTTAACTTTATTAGGAACTGAGGACAGTGGAAGAGAGCAGTAGTTCATGCAGGGCTTATGCTGAAAAGCCTTAAAGCTGAAAACATGTTGGTTGACATAACACAACTTCTGAGTTATAATCACATCGGTTCTTTATCTGAGAAAGGGACTGGACATAAATCAATAGAGAACGAGTAAACAGAGCAAAGAACAATCTCAACAGACAGTCCCATGTAAGCAGGACACGAAAAGTAGACAAGGACACCAAGGAGAAATGCATATATGCCTCTAGATAAATGTTGCAAGGCTAAAAATATAAGTGGATGAATTAAAAAGCCCAGCTTTAAATTAAAGTTTTGACATAAACTTTTCAGAAACCCAGTTTAAAAAAAAACCCCACAAACAGTAGGACCCTATAATTCTCAGGTGAAATTACAGAGAGGAGAAGAGTGTGTCTCTTCTGGTGGCAGGGCAGGGACACTGTGCGTTAAGGAGAGTGTAAAGTCCCATGACAAGTAACACAAAAATCCCCAATTGTGCCTAAGTAGGAGGAGTATGGCATTCAGGTTATAATACACTGCATTAGCACAGGCTGCAAAAGAGGAGCCTACGTGATGAGAATCTACTTCAAATAATACTGAAAGAAGCAGTCAAAAGAATAAGATGCTTTTGGGCACAGGGATCATTTGCAGCTCCAGAAAAGGGCTGGCCAAGCAGCAGAGAGGGCAATTAGAAGCAAGAAGCCGTTCTTCCAAAGTGAAGGTGTGGCTAGACAAAGACATCAGAAAAGAGTTGGATGCAAAGCTAAGTGCAGAGCCACAGTGAGGCAGGCTATAAACAACTTGTGAAAAAGAGAGATTATTAATGCAAACATTTTCAGCTCCATCAGAAGGGAGAAGGCTGCTAGAGGCTCTGCAGGTCCAGGGAGTAACACAGGTCTAAGAGGGACGTTCAAGGGCTGTAACTGCATAGCAAAAGAGCAAACTGAATTTATTGTGTTAGTGATCAGCGTGGAAGTGCTTCAGGAGATTCCCAGCCTGGTACATCTCCGTTCAGGGCATGGAGTAGAGGATCCCTCATAAATCAGCTCATCAGTTTGAGCGTTTCGGAAGCACATCAGTAAAGTAGATGATAGTAACAAATTGCCAGGGCTACAGGTCACTCACCTGGGCATTGTGCAGGGGCTCAAGCACAAAACTGCTAAATCACGAACGTGGACTGCAATCTGTTACCCATGCCCAGAGCCAGAAGGAAGAGCTGAGGGCAATAGCAGCTTGAAATAGCTGAAGCCACAGAACGATGAGCCTGACTTTCCTGCCAAGCAAATTGTTAAAAATTCAAATACAGGGTCTGACTTGTTGGCACATGGCTAAATGTGAAAACCAGGGGAGGAGGCAACACAGCTTTTGTAGAGAGAGATAACGCCTCACAGATCTTTTAGGGGAATGAAGCTCTCAAAGCATAAAAGGGAAGGTGCTCTCACAGGTAAATAACTTGCTAAAAAATAGGAGACAAAGTGCAGTTCAGTCTTAATGGAGAAAGGTTACTCGAAGAAGGAGGAAAGTGGAGTTCTCCAACTGTCTGCACCTTTCAGCAAGTTCATAAATATCCTGGACAAGGAGAGAAGATGGCAACATTTATAAAAGACAAAATCCTTCAGGCCTATCAGCTTTAAAACTGGTCACAAAGCGTTGCAGAAGGATCTCCCATTGCTGCATTATTGGGCAATAAGAGTGGTGGATGAAATCCTGTGTAAGTAGCACAAAATGCCACACACGAGCAGAACCGCTTCTTTATTTATTTTATTATTATTCGGAGCTGGCTGGGAACAAACATGGGACAAGCAGAAAGTGCCGGTATGCATCTGGGTAAGCCTGTGGTGCTTTCACAGCTAGGATCTGCCGCTGATCACTGCTTCTCAAAAACGGATGCAGCAGACTTGGGAGAAGTGCAGAAAGGTATCGACTACGATCACAGCAATGAGGTTTTTCTGAGACAACAGAAAGAATATAGAGGCTTTCATGTGGGAAAAAGATGATTAGCCGAGGATATGAAAGACAGGATATGAAATCAGGAGAGCAGGGGAGAAGGCAGATAAGAGACACTAACTGGTGCTTATAACAAAATAGGTGGTGGCATCAAACAGGACCCAGAAACTTTGGAACATCCAATAAGGTAACACACGGTGTGTAATGAAACTGGAGCTCCTTGCCCAGAGGATGTAGGTGCCAGAAGTAAAAAGGGTTCAAGAGCCTAGATCAAGAGCTCTCAAATGCAGAGATGCAAATACCCTCCCTGGCTCAGGAAGTCCCTAAACCAGGGATTCCAGAAGCTGATGGTGCTCCCGCGGGATGCAGCACCCTCCAGGTGTGCCATTACCTCGCCCAGCTGCAAGGGGAGGCTGAGCTGTGGTCCACAGCCCCTGGAGAAACTCCTCTTGGGCAGGCAGTGCTGTGCACTGGCATCGGAGGGAATACCGCTGCCCACAGCCATCACCAGGGCGCCACAGATGACATCAGAGATGCTTTGCGTGATCTTGGGAGTTTACACCGCTTCCTGGCGCACCTCCACCAGCTTTTCTTGGTGGGGTTTGCATAAAGATACATCCTGGCTTCTCTTGCCTGGGAGACTCAACCTGGGAGTTGTTTCACTGACAAATCAATCCTCAAGCAATGCTGAATGGATCCTTTTAAGAGAAGTCAGACAACTAGCAGTGAATTACAGCTAGATGGCTTCCTAAACCACCCCAGTATGCACAGCTCTCGTCCCAGAACAGCCAGATTACTCCCAGCACAGGCTGATGAAATCTCTTCATTTCTCTCTCTGGGATATCTCCCCTCCTGCAGCACGCTGCCACCATCCTCCCCCTCTCCTCCATCTTCTGCTCATCCTTTTAGCCATTCCCTTTCATGTCATGTCTTTGATCTTTACTAGAGAGCAGGAAAGGGATTAGAGGACAGAAAAAGACCACCATTAAAACCTAATAACCAAAGAACAAGATCTCTGTTGTATCACCAAGGTGTGCTCCTTCAGGTTATTGCCCTGTGTTGGTCTCGATGGCCGGTTCTGCAGCTGAGGCTCTGCCGCCTCTCCCAATTCAAGACCCTTTTTTAACCTTCCTTTCTGTTTGTATAGTGGGGCACACTCTCACAGGCTGGCTTTTCAGAAGATATTTTAATAATGCTGTTTGAAACTTGGGGCATCTGACTGATCTCGGAGTGATGGAAGCTGTATCTTTTGCATTGCACAGAAGTTGGTGTACACGAGAAGCAGTTGGCAATGGGTTATTCAGTGTACCCGTGACACAAATCACAAATGCCAGATACACTCAAATTCTGTGGCGCTTTGGCCATGCCTGCCCACACGTGTATATGCAGACCACTGTGTCTGTGCATTCATTTTCCCACATCAATTTGCTACATTTTCAAAGCAGAATCTCATTTGTTTATTTTTTTCCCATGTATTTAATTTTCAGAGGTCCTGTTCCTACAGCTGGTGATGTATAACAAACAAGAATTTGCTGTGACTGTTTTGAATTGGTCTCTGTCAATACCTACAAGGGCATTTGTTTTCTTTTGATCTTGGGAACAGTTAGGAAAAAGGGAAATGTGAAAAATAATGCATGTATGCCTTTACTGGCCTACGCTGACCCTGTGTGAGAGCTCTGGGCAGGCTTGGGAGACATGTGTGAAAGGGACCATGGTTTCTGCGTCAGCACTCGGTCACTTGGAGAGAAAGGGACCATCTGAAGCAGCAACTCCAGGTGCAGCGTTTCTAGGCAGCTCTTATGTTGAATGTTTCAAAGTAAAACTATTCAGCACTTGCCTGTCAATAATTCACCAGGCAGAAGGGGCTGGAGAAGAGCATGAGCTGCAGTCCTTGCTGGGCATGAGGGGTTGGCATTTGCAGCTGACCACCACTCGTTGGGTTTGGCTTGTTTGGGACTCGGAAGCAACTTGTGCAACTTCTCGAATGCGGTAAAAAACACGTGCCATCACACGCACATCACTTGCAGTCGGCTTCTGTTGTCTGGAGTTTCTGATCATGTTGTCCCCTGTCCCTGGAAGGTGCTGCCGTGGCCCCATGTGAATATGAATTGGTGTTATTTTCTCTTGCTAATAATTTTTAAAACGGCTGTAGAGATTCTCCTCAAAAAGCAAACATGTAGTAGCGATGTGAATCCTGAGGTGCACCATGCCCTTAGCCTGTATCTTCTGAAATATTTAAAGAGTGGCTTGGCGTCTTATCTTTACACTTTATTGTGCTTTAACTTAGAGGAATAAACTGATTGGGGAGGTGGCCATAAAAGTCCCTCCAAAATATTGGGAGCAACTTAGTGGCTTTCACTGCAGCATCTGTTCTCTGTATCACAGGATCAAGGCCCCAGCAGCTGCAGAGTTGGGGAATGTTCAGCCAGTTGTAGCTGACACCTTTCTTTTTCCTTTTCTTTGAATGCAGGGTCTGAAGAAGAGGTCCAGGATGTCCATGAACACTCAGTTTAATAAAACACTGGCCTACTTTCTTACTGGAGAGCTGCAGTGGACAAAGATGTTCAGCATACCAACCACAGAGAAGCTCACGTCTTGCTCCCTGCACAGGCAATGACGTAATGACCAGCCCTGACCTGCATGGCCCACGCCGAGATGCAGACTGCAAATAAACAACGTGACACTTGTGGTCTCCTCACATGTTCCCACGTTGCGATGGTCACGCAAACACAGAGCCGTGTCCTCCAGGTCCCCTTCTCCTTTGAAGGCACAGGCAGCCCATCTTCATCCTGTGGCATCTGCCTGCGTGGGCTGGCTCGCTCAGAGACCAGTCTTGGGAGTCACCAGCTGGAGAGCTCACGGAGCGAGTGCAAGCTGCTATTTTGGCATGTTCATGCCACAGAAGGTTTTGCTAAACACTTCAAAAATAAACAAGCCTTCGAGACCAAAAGCTGCAGAAATGACTTTCTGTGGCCTGGTAGCTCCTGACTTCATTTCCTCACTTAGGTCAAAAGCCAGACTTCTTCATTTTAACTTTTCCACTCTTATTTCAGACACAGGAACAAGCTATTCTCCATCTCACCACTCACAGGGTCTGCCCTGCAAGGTGCTGCTTCTGACTTCATTGGAAACCAACAGCTCTCACCACTTTTGATCACTTCATTGTCCCTCAGCTGATGCCATCTTGGCCGTGTGCGGTGTTTTGCCAGCAGCAGGAGAGGTGAAGACAAGAGAACAATGTCAGCATTTCTGGGAAGGGGCTGGGTCAGACTCTTTCCATTGCAAAGAATCCACCCTCTCATCTGGCAATGTGAACAAGTCTCTCCCTCATCCTCTAACTCCTCCACCTACCCTCAAAATAGGTGTGATGGCCAGCCCTGTTAAGAGCAACTCATTTTTTGAGCCTATGTCAGAACTGAGATGCCCCCGTCACAAGAGTCATGGAAAACCCCTGAGTTCACATGGCTCCTGCTTCTCTCTTTCCTCCCTCACTGCCCCAAGACACAGCAAAAATTCCCAGCAAAAGCATCCCTAATAAATGCAGAGCAGAGCCCCCACCCATCACCCAGCCTTATCTTTGTTTTTCTGAGACACCCGAAATGATCCTGTGAAGGAATTTTTCAAAATACCCTTGTGCCTTTTCTAACATTTTGATGATGGAGAGAGAAAACTTGAGAAATCGCTAGGCTCTTGGTTTATTACTTTTTTTTTTTCCTCTCCCATTTGTGGGTTGTGTTTGGGTTTTTTTAACATCACTTAGTTCTTATTTCCTACATCTCATAATCTGGGGACATTAAAGTAAAATGAAACCTGCCAAATTCAAAACATATAGCACCCAAACAGTTTTCATAGAGCAGGGAATTAGACTGGGGAATTAGAGTTCATTGCCCTAAAGGATCGTTCAGGCCAAAGAATTAGCCAGATTCCCACATGAAGTTCACATTTAGATGGCACCAAGTGTTTCCAGAGTTAATGCTAACGAAGCATTGGTGAGGCTACAACACTGGAGCTGAAGGTAACTCCTGACAATTTGAAACCCACTGTAGGGACAGACCTCCCTCATCTGCTCAGTGCTCAATAAGCTTTCTGTGTCTTCCTTTGAAGCAGCAGCTCCAGCTCAAGACAGCGCACTGGTTATGTAGTCCCAGTTCAGGATAATCCTGTCTCTGGCTTCCTTTGTTGGGGAGGTTTTACGGGGGTTTTATGGGCTTTTTACAGGGTTTGCTGCCCTTCGTCTTTGAAAAAGGCACCTTTGTCCCAGCTGCTAATCAGTCACTGACATTCAAGTGATGGTATTACAAGTCAGTCAATAGCACTGTTTTAAAGCAAAATGTTATTCCCTTGCTACTAGTGTTCATTTCTTGTCTCCTGTGACCGAGCTGCTGCACAACCTTTCAGTCTAGAGAAAAGCTGAATTTCTTTCATCAGAGAACCCAGCAGAATTATATTTTAACCTTTCCAGGCTCTTCTTGCTTGTCCTACAGAGCAAGCAGAAGACACAAACTCAGACATTTCCCCGCTTGCAGGGAAGTCAGTCTTAAAGTAGAGGAAAAAAACCCAGGAGCGGGTCTAGATTCCCCTTGTTCAACTTCTTGTGCATGTGGTCCGTGGCTGGTCTCAACCAGCTCCCTGTGTCCTTGACAATCCTGGAGGGCTCGGGTGACTTTAGAGAGGGGAGGGTCATGAAGTCCAGGTGCTCCCACTGCTTTCTTTAGGAGTCAAGAAAGCTGAGAGCCTCCAGGGATGCATTTCATTGCCTCAAAGGAACCAGCATCTTGTTTGCAGTCTAAAAGTCCTCCTCTCTTTCCTTCCTTATCCTTAGAAAATGAGGAGGGCTCTGAATCTGTGGCAAGCCCCAAGCTTCTTGGAGAAAGTGGTCAGCGCTAATGCACCCTTTCCATTCCCTACTGCAGTATTACCAGGCTGCGCAGGGCAATGCCTGCTTTAGAGTGTTTTCCTTTCCTGATGTCATGCTGCTGCTCCTTTTCATCTCGAAAACGGCCATCCTACATGCTGGTCTCCCTCCCCGGGGTTTGCTGAGCTGAATGAGAGCGTGCAGGTCTGTCTCGGTGGGTTCTCAGGTGGGAGGAGAGGGAGGAGCTCTCCGGGAAGGTGGTTTTTAAGATCCTCTTCAATAGATGGACTACCATCCTTGGCTGCCTGGAAAGGAAGAAGCAATTTCTGAGAAAATGGGGAACAGCTCCTCTGAGTTCCTGCACGTCTCGCTTCTGGGCGATGCTTTCAAGCGCTCGGTACCCGTCGTCGCGTTTCTTCAGCATCACTGCAATGAAGCAGAGCTCATTTTCCTTCATTGCGTCCAAAGTCCCAGCTGAAAAGTGATGGAAGCCAGAGCATCCCGAACTCCCTGTCTCCAAAACCAAAGCCTTTCCCCAGGGAACACCGTCTTCCCAGGACCCAACCGGGATGGGGACCTGGGCCGGGCTGGCTGGACCTCTTCTTGCCGCACAGAGCTTCTGCTCTCCCTTTTTATAATGTTCAGATCCTTTTGAAATGTGAATATAGGTTTGGGGTTTTTTTTTTGTTGTTGTTGTCTGGTTTTGTTTTGTTTTTGCCAAGTTTGTCCTGGCTCTCGGGGCTTCGAAATAAATTATGACATCCCCCCTCCCCCTTAAACAAAAAAAAACACAACAAAAAAAAAAAGAGGAAGAATACATTTTATATATATGCAAAAACTGTGTATTTATGTCTGATAGAAACAAAGATGTGTGAATATTGCCGATGTGCTCAGAAATATATTTATTTACTAATATATTTATCCACCTAACCCCGGTCTGCTCGCCTGCTTTTTTTTTTTTGGTTCGTCGTACCCAGCCCCTATCGGGGCTCTTCCCTCCCTTTAAATCCCATGGAAATAAATCGTTTAAATTTTAGCCCCGGGCCTCGGCCCCGGTTATGTCCGTGACTGGAGCCCCTGGACCAGATGGCGCTGGAGACCGTCCCCAAGGATCTGCGGCATCTCCGCGCCTGTCTGCTCTGTTCCCTCGTCAAGGTACGAGTCGTACCGCTCCCCGAGCTTCTTCTCCCTTCCTAGGGTCTCCCTCGGGCCCTCCCCGGGGTTCCCTACCCGGTTCCCCGCAGGCCCGGCCCGGCCTTCCGTCCTCCTCCTCCTCCATCCCCGCGCTGACTCCTCTGTCCGCCCCCCCTCAGACCATCGACCAGTTCGAGTACGATGGCTGCGACAACTGTGATGCCTACCTGCAGATGAAGGGCAACCGGGAGATGGTTTACGACTGCACCAGCTCCTCCTTCGACGGGTGAGTGGGGCCCGGGCATGGCCGCCGTCCCCGGGGTGCCTGGGCAGTCCCTGGTGGCACCTGGCCGGCAAACGTCCCCAGGCTGCCATCCCTCCTCCAGGATTGTGGTCCCACATCGGGGTTCTTCACCCGGTCCACACGTACAGAGTCGAGATACTTGTTTATTTTGTGTCTGCACAGAGATGGGTGTTGGGCGGTAGCTCCGCAAACCTGGCACACATTTGGAGGAGTAAGCCAGGTCGTATATACCAAATAATAACAAAGAAGGAACCACAGTGTCGGTCATTCTTTACTCCTGACTTTACATATGAAAGCAGGAATTTATCATTCTCTAATCTCAAGACTCCTGTTGTCCTTGTTTGAGAGCAGTTTGGCTCTATCAAGGTCTGCTGACCAGGGGACAAGCTCCCGCTCCTGGAGCCATCCTCGCCTGTCCCCCATTCATCAACTGTACAAGCCCACCTGGTTTCGAAACCTAGAGGTTTTGTGATGACCCTTTTCTTTCCACCACAGGATCATCGCCATGATGAGCCCTGAGGACAGCTGGGTCTCCAAGTGGCAGCGAATCAGTGAGTGGGTTTTTCCCAGCCGGTTTGGGAGCTGGAGATCCCTTTTCTCCAGCAAACCCTTCTCTGGGGCAGCAGGAGTTGCTGTTCAGGCTGCTGAGGGGGTTTCTGCTCCCAATGGGGGCACCTGCAGAGGCGGGCAGGGATGCTTGCCTACCCGTGCAGGGTAATTTGGTGTTTTCTTTACCCTAGGTAATTTCAAGCCGGGTGTCTACGCAGTGTCTGTGACTGGCCGCCTGCCCCAAGGTAACACTGCCAACTTGTGTGAGGGGAGATTCCTGTGTGGATGGCAGCCGAGGGATTATTCTGTTAGGCATTGGGGCTGTAGCTGTCTTTCCGAGGTGACAAACTGGTACAGCATTGTGCTGTACCTGCATGATAAATTAGGATTTGGGGGCTCAGTGAACACTGTATGTTGTGAACAGAGCACACACCATCCCAAACCAGAGGGATTAGCAAGATGACTGCAAGAAGGAGGTGCTGAATGGGAGGGTGGTTTTGGGGTTCGGTAGACAGGTTTTTTACTGCAGTCATTCAGGGCTCTGCTGACCAGAAGTTGATATTGAAGATGCTGCTGACTAAAACCTGTCATACCAGGCAAGCCATCAGTGGGATAAACTGTGCTTAAAGGGTGACTCCAGAAAGTGAGTGCATTTCAAACCAACTGTTCAGCTGCAGGGAAACATGAAGGTTTGTCCATAGAAAAGAGTTTTGCAGGACAGGGTGCTACGGCAATCTCGGTGAGCAGATGCCTCTTTCAATCATCGTGCTGCACTGAGGGCTTACGTTAAGGTGGGTTTTGTGCCTTTATAAATGGAGTGGAGAGTGAAAAGGGTTGGCTTTATCTCTGTAATGCAGAAACTGCATCAATCATCTAGCCGAGAGCCCCTGCCCTGTCATAGCACCAGAGCAGACTCCAGCCCTGTGCCCCTTCCCAGGAGCGCTGCAATCCCATATCCCTGGGGTAAAAGCTCTGCTTGCATCTGGAATCCCAGGTGCCGTATTTCTGACCAGAGCTCTGCCATCTGTCTTGGAAGGAGCTGGAACATCATAAGGCTTGAAGCTGAGGGCTGCTAGCACAGCTTTGGGCACATCCAAAATAACCGGAGTGCAGCAGATGATGGTGTGAGCTGGATGCAGGTGCTGGCAGGCAGCGCAGGGCAGGAGGCACAGGGAGTGCAGGTGGGAGATGCTGTCTTCAGCCTCGCTCAGCCCGTCCTCTCATCACGGGGAGGAGTGCAAGGGCTGGGGAGCGCGGTAACCTGCAGGCTGCACTCCTGGGCCCCACTAGCTGTCATTTGGCTGTCATTTGTCTGTTCCTTGGTGCCTGGCGCTGGTGAGAGCTGCGCGGAACTTGTGGTGCTCTTCTGCTATCCCTGTTCTGAAGGGGTTACTGAGAAGGTGGGACCTGCAGGCAGGTCCCGGAAGTGACAGAAAATTTTAAGAATTAGCCTTAAGAGCTTGACCTGTTCAGTACAGTCATAATACTCAAATGTTTTCAGGTAGGAAATAATGTAAAGAAAATCTCTACCTGGGTCTTTCCCGAGGCAAAACAAGAGTTGATGTTTGGGAGCTCTCTGCAGGCATTTGAACTGGAAGAGGGAGCACTCTTAATGGTTCTGTTAGAAGAAATGAAGAAGATGATTGTCCAGTTTGTGATCTCTGCAATGAAGGCTATGTGACAGAGCAACCAGATTTTTTTCAGGGCTCCTCACCCCTACAGAATACTGAAATGTGTTTGTCTCCTTGCTGCAGGCATCGTCCGAGAGCTGAAGAGCCGTGGTGTGGCTTACAAGTCCCGAGACACAGCTATAAAAACCTAAGGGGCTCTTGTTCTGCCTGGAGGATTCCCCGGTGCTGCGTTGGGAGAGGCAGCGGGCACGTGGGGCACTGCTCCAAAACCTTTTAGCTTTAGCATGTGGGACAGCGAGCCTGGATGCAGAGGGAGCCTGCTGGCTCGGCTCCTCCGGCTCCTCTGGACTCTGCTGTACCACAGTCTGCCCACACAGACCGGGGAAACCTTTTTGAGTCTTGACAAGGGCGAGGGCAGGAGCAGATCTGGGAGATTGGTGCTTAATGGTGCTGCACAAGCTTTTTTACAGTCGGTGCGGAGAAGAGGAGAGCTGGGATAAGGGATAGCTGTGTAAATATTTCAATAAAATGTGCTCCTTGGTCAGAGTTGAGTCCAACTCGTATGCTCGGTGAGCAGTTTCACCCACTGTGGGGAGCGGATGATGTGGTGAGGGATTTTGCGCTCAGCCCCCTCCCTGCCAAACTGTTTGGAGCCTACGATTGCCATCAGTTCTTATGCCACGAACCACATTCCTGTCTCAAAAGGGGATCCTGCCCTGGCTGAATTGGGGTGTCCTTTGCTGTAGGGAACAAGCAGACTATCAATTTGTGCCTTGCAGCTCACGGCTGGATGGAACAGGTAAGATGTTAAGTACTTCATGTGCAGGTAATTACCTGGAGGTCACAGTGGCCTGGGCCTGCGGGGTCCTGTATGAGGGACATGGAAGCAGGCTTGAAGGACATCCGGCTGGCCATTGCTGGCCTCCAGGGCATGCAGAGCGAGACAAGCCCGTCGCTGGTGTGGCTGGGAGGCAGCACTGGGCCTTGCGGAGGGGAGGGATGGACAAGGTGGGGTGGAAACACCCATCCAGCTTCATGCGTGTAGAGGTCTGGCTGTCACTGCACGTTGTGAGTGTCAGCTTGGGTAGTGTCTGCGTTGCATGGGCTCCTGAGAGATTTGGTCTCCTTACTTGATGGCTCCAGCATCATTTCTTTTGTTCCAGTTCAGCAGCAGCCACCAATCACAAAGGTGCCTTGCCCAAGGACAGAGTCCTAGATCAGTAGCCCTGTGAAATAAGCATTTATTTTTTTTTTTCTGAGATAATCCTGCAGCTGGAATGCCTAATTTTTGTTTTCTTTAGGCAAATTTTTGAAAACTAATACAGACTAAAAACTGCATTTGATCTGGGGCAAAAGTGGCTGCAGCGAAGGGAATGCATGGCTGTAGGGGAGCGACACTGTCGGGAGCGTGGAGGGAACCTGCTCTCTGTCCTGCCCTGCTTTGTAGAGCTGGCCCTGAAAGAGTCCCAGACACCGCGGGTCAGCCAGAGCACGACTTCCTGCGGGGTTTGGGAGCAGACGTGTGGCTGGAGAAGATTGCCGTGAGCACAGGGAGGCTGCATGGGGGCTGCGGTGTTAGTCAAGACGAAACACTGCAGAGAAAGATGTCTTCAACCACGTTTCTCTTGGGGACATGCAGATATGATGCTGAAGTCCAGAGCATTTGCTGGGTGCAGACCAGACCAAGTCAAGTTTGTGGTGGGCTCTGGGCTCCAGCAGATGCCTCCGGGTACAGATCACCTTTTGTGGGAAGAGCTGAGAGTGCTTTGGCCTCTTGGGAAGATGGAGCAGTAGGTTCATGTCCTCGGGCAGAGGAGGGAGTTGGCCATGGCTTTCACACATCCCTGGTGCACATCCAAAGCACTTGAGTTACCCAATAATTATCCTCCAGGCTCGCTTGGTTGTAGAGACCGGGCAGGAGATGTACCTTGGAAATGCCCTGTAGGTCAAGTCTGCGGGCAAGAGGTGTGACTGTCCCGGCAGCCAGGGACATGGCTCTGCAGGGTGCGCTCCGGTTCGGACATCTCGGGCATGGACCTGCTGGCCCTGGAGGGCCGTTTCATCGTGGCTGTGCTGGGAGAGGCACGGGGTGAGCTGGGATCTCCTTGGGGTGCCTTTGTCCCCTGGGGAACAGTCCCGGAAAGCTGCAGGCTGGGGAGCAGTGTGAGGTTGAGAAGAGCTGACGAGGTTCAGGTTGAAAGGGATCAGGGAGGATGTGCTGGGCAGCTCTTCCTCCAGCTGGAGGGAGACGGGTCTGGGGAGCGAGGTTTTGGCTCCAGCCAGGTTGGAAAGATGGTGGGGGTGATGGAGGACAACCACCCTGGCCATGCCCAGCCCTCGCAGCCTCACCCTCCGAGTGCCACGGGGTGGCAGCATGGCTTTGTGGAGCAGAGCTGAGCCTGGTGACAGGCTGGGGTGAAGCTGCTGGAGAGGGACCTGAACGAGAGAGACCTGAGGCACATCTCCATTTTCCGCTGCGTTTCACAGTGCCTTTCGCTCCCTACCAGTTTCCCAGGCTGTGTCCTCCTTCCCTGGCTCCAGGGATGGGGATGGCCGCGATGGAACTGCTCCAAAGCTGGAGGCATGTCAGGACCCCTTCCCCAGTCCCAGGCCACCTCATCCCCTAACCCCACGGTGCAGAGGAGGTGACAAGAGGGCTCTGCACAGGGTCCTGGGCAGGGTGGGCTTGTTCAACCGGCTCTGAGTGCGGGTCAGCAGGCACGGTGGTTCCCGTCACCCTCCTGGGATGTTGCAGTCCTGCAGTGACACAGTTGCTGCCCAGCACTGGCCGCTTTGCTTAGGAAATTGTCCCTGGGGAGCGGCGTGCGTTGTCACTGTGCCTCCTGGGGAAAGTGAGGGGACTTGTAACCCCCCCAGGGACCTCACCCCTCGCTAAGAAGCGCAGCCTCTCTGGTTTATACAGAGTTAAGACCGGTGGCAGCTGCAGTGCAAGCGCAACAGAGCCAGAAGGGTGAGGCTGAGGGGCTGAACGCCGGGGGTCTTCCAGAGTGAGCTGCACCTCCTCTGCCTGCCGCAGCTCGCAGCGCTTCCAAGAACGTGGTGCCTCTCATCGGGCTGGCTCGGCGAAACGCTTCCCTGAGAGTGAGCGAGCTCGCCCACACGTGCACCGCATCTCCCAGCCCACGCTGCCCCAGTGATTCATCGCTCCCAGGCTGCCAGAGCCGAGCGTCGGACCTCTGCAAAGCACCTGAAATGAGCATTTCGGTTAGGCTCCAGCCCCGCAGCTGCCTTGCTTTTGTAGCGGTAAAAAGCAAACGGATGTGGAGCTTTATTTGCTGAGAAAAGTAGGTCAGGGAGCTCTCACGTTGAAAAAATTGGAGGAAAAATGTGCGGCGGCAGCAGCAGCAGCCCGGGCTGTAATCGGGAGAGAAAGCGTCAACCGGGCAGGGAGCTGTAGATCTGAGTCAATTTAAGATGGCTCCTCCCCCTGCACCAAATGACGCTAAAATATTTCAGCCAGGCCTGAAAATCCTGCAGGTTTGGCACCCGAAGCAGCCTGGCAGCGGGAGGCGGGGGGGGGCCGGGGCAGGAACCACGAGCCAGTGGATTTCTTCGTGCGGGTTTTGAGAACCGATACCCCGGCTCTCCCTCCGGGCGAGAAAAGTGACTTTCCAAAACCACAGAGCACACAGTGTTTCTACGTGAAGCAGCTGCCGGCGGTGCTGGGAAATGCCCAGCCAAGCTGTCCCCACCTGCGCGGGGCCCCAATGCGTGGCACCCCCGGGGATGGGAACCTGCCCACGCACGCTGCTCCCCACCGCCCGGGATGAACGCAGCTCAAGTTGGCCTTTGTCTCGTAGCTTGAGCAATCTGGGCTTCAGCTGAAGGGGGACGGGTGTGAGAGCATGTCGGGCTCTGGCCAAGGGAGACCGTGGGTGAGCCCCCCCCAGAGATGGAGCATCCTCCCATGGATGCTCTGTGCACGCCGTGGCATCCTCCCCCATTGTCACCTCTGTGCTGGTGCGAAGGGCAGCAGGCAGAGGTGCCGCCTCGGGGCCGGCTGCAGCGGCATCAGGCCTTCACCCCAAATCCGCTTTCACTCGCTGCCTTCCAGCATGTGGACCTGGACACCCCCAGCTGCCCCTCAGCCGTGCCTTGCGGGGGGCTGGTGTGGGGTCTGCAGTGGGGGCTCGGGGACCCTTGGTGATAGGTGCTGGGGGGGCGGGGAATAAAAACAAACCCCAGATTAAAATAGTTTTCCTTGGCAACTGGCCGAGGAGACCTCGGTAGGGTGGAGGTCCAGGGGCAGACCTGCGTTGTCCTCCTGGTACCCGTGCTGCCTGCCCGGGGCTGGGGTGAGGCACTGCTGGAGCGAGGATGGCAAAGCCCCGGTGCGTGCCGTTAACGGCGCATCACCTCTGCGTCAGGGCCTGTGGGCAGAAGCCACCAAGGTGCCCGAGCGTGTCTGATGTGGCGCAGAGAGGAGGGGGCCCGTGGCCAGCTTTCAGCAGCAGCTGTTTGGACAGGCTGTGGAGGGGATGGGTGCAGGTTTCAGAGGTGCAGGCAGCTACGGAAGCTTTCAGAGCGTGGCAGAAAAGAGTCACGGCTGCCACGTGCGCCGTCCCAAGGGGTGCCTGGTGCACTGGCGATGGAGGTGGGTGGGCAAGGAACCGGGACGTGTTCCCTGCTGAGGGGATATCCAGGAAAAACGGGGAGCTCTGACATATGATGGGTGCCCCGGGTGTTTGCCCCTCAGGAATTGCAGTGGAAGGGGGAGGCTCTGCTTAGTGGAGGTGGGCCAGGCTGGGGAGCTATCAGTTCCTGAAGAAGGGCCTGCAGAAGAAGGTATTGCCACCCCTTGTACGCCTGGTGCTGTCTGCAAAGAGGCCATCATCCATTTCATGGTGGACCCCTCTAAACTTACTGGTCTGCCTACAGCGTTGGGGTTTTGGTGGCTGGGGGGAGACACAAGAAACTTCTGGAGGGTCCCAAACCTCCTCTGGGCTGAGACCCCTCACCTCCCCAGTCTGCTTCTTCATCTCTGCATCACGGAAAGGGGAGATACCAAAGGTTGGAGGGCTCTGGGGGTGCTGAGGGCACGTTTCCTTAGGACAAATGGCAAAGTGAGACCACAGCTGAAGTCACAGGAGGGATTTGGGAACCTTACAGTATCTACCTCACCACCAGCTCTCCTGGACCTCCTGCTGCATCCCAGGTGGCACTTGTCCTCCCTCTTCCTGGCCAGATGTGCATCACCCAGGCTCTGCCCAAAGCACATGCTGGGCTGGAAGGGCCTTTGTCCCCTCCATGGGAATGGTCCTCCTGCACGGGCAGTCACGGCAGAGCTGCTGAGCGCCCAGGCGGAGCCCTGGGGCATGCACCGGATGAGGACATCACACCTCCTCTGGCGGGTCCCCA